TGTAAAATTCTTTAAAAATCTTGATAAGTATGTATGTAATTCATTAGTATTTTTTGTGTGTAAGTTTGATTAATCAAATATGCTATTGATGATATGAGACAAAAAATAACATTGTGGTGGTTGTTGGTAGTTCTCCGGCGAGAATAGAGAAGACAAAGATTGAAAAATCATTTTATTCGGTGAACTTTTGATAAATTTAGACAATATAATTATGAATTTTATGCATAAATGTCAATGAATTTTCAATAGAAATCACTATCTTTCTCATGAATCTTTTTCGGTGATCTTCTCCGGTGAATCTTCCAGCAAGTTCAAACGGAAAAATCATGAACTTTAAGTTGAAAATTATTGACTTTTCGATGAAAGTCATCATCTTCTCCACCCTTTCTATTTTTAAGAGTTCATTTTTATGGGTAGAGTGTTGGATGTGCTTTCATCAAACAATCAATGTCGACAAATGCAATGACTCCTTAAGAAGAAGAAGAACAACAACTCAAAATAAAGAAAAATGAAAAAGCTTTAAAGAAATTGGGCCACCAATAAAAAGATTAAAAATTATAATACATAATTATATGACAAATAAAATAGTGCCATGTGTTGATATTCGTCATTTTAACATATAATTTTTTCTTCTCACGCACCTTAAGGAAGGTGAAGACACTCTCTTTGCCATGTCACGTTCTAAGGGGTATTAATATCACTTTGAACAAGATTAGGTGTGTAATAGATCGTCACAATAGTTTGAGCGTGTAACTGACTTTTCGACACAAATTTAAGGGGGAATTTATGCCTTTTCCCTATTCTAAATACATCTAGATTACTCATATCTTCTACTATCATTATGCTAGAATATTCGATCTAGATATTTCTTAAATGAACAAATATTAAAGATATTACAATATAACTTTCTAAAAACTCTCCTAAATACCTACAATAATTAACTTTAATTTTTCACAAAATACATAAACCTAGCAGAAAATAAATAAATAATTTATCTTATGTGTTGTCTATGCTTCTTATGACTCTTTGCCCTCAAAAACCTTCTGAAATGTTCTTTCCTTTGATCCCTTTTTGACCTTTTTCTCCACTCATTTTTTCTTTGATATAATTCACCTTCTTCTTCAATATCTCTTATAATTTGATGTCTTCTACTTGTTGTCTTTTTTTGTTTGAAGCATAAAAAATTGCAACAACAATCTAAAACTGAAAAACAAGTATACAAACATGTCCATGTGGATCTACAAAGCATGTGACAAATGCACCCATATATGCCCAACTTGTATTGCAAATACAAGAACAAGAGAGCTGCAAAAATCACAAAATTAGGAGTACTAAATACAAATGCAATATGTAATTGTATTTTTTAAAATATCAATATGAATGACCATATGTTATTGCACCCTTTTTATTACATGATGGTAATTGACTTGACATGAAATTTAAGATAGAAAAATGGTATTGTTGAAACTTGCGTTAATAGAAAATAATATTTTTGAATAGATTATTCAGTAAAAAATCTATCGAAAATATGAGATTTTTGATGAGAAGTTCGTCGGAAATAGTTGCAATGAACGAAATGTTGACTTAATTTCTTGTAGTGTTGATATTAAATATGTGTGATATTAATGTAGCTATCACTTTAACAAAAACAACTTTTAGCGGCAATAGATATACACATTAATAAAGAACATTAAAGTTTTTATCGGTATTAGTTAATTGTCATTGGATCTAATGTTGATATAGGTTTTAGGGACATTTACAAAGAGTCTTAATTGTCGCTAAAATACATATTTAACTACAATTAAGTTATTGTCATTAATTAATTGACACTAAAAAATATTTTTGAGGTAGTGTATAAAGCATCTCGTTAAGGGTAAAACTGAACATCTAAAGTTAAAGAGGTTTTAAATCTAGAATTATGATTCTTTAATTTCAACAGATTAGAAAATAAAAGAGTGTCATATAACACGAAACATCTCGATAAAACTCACCAAAGTATAACAGAATTGAGAGCATAGCCAGTTTGAGCAAATGAGAAATGCAAAAGTTCTCAATGTAACACGACAAATCCCATGTTGGACCGCATATTGTGCTGAAAAAAACAAAATAGTATTATCACAAATTATTTCTTCATAAGGGGAAAAACAAATCTGTCGAACAAGAGTATCGCCTAGTAATCAATTGAGTGAATTGAGAATCACAAAGTCTCTGATTTAAATTTCAACGGGAGCAAAACCACTAGGTGCTTATATTTATTCTTATTTGTTCAAAGCCTTTGTGGACAGAGTTGTTGATATAAGTAGCAGGTACCCCATGGAATTAATCGACGACTGTGAGAGTTATTCATAAAATTAGTCGAGATGTGCGCAAGCTAATCCAGAGACCTTGATTAAGAAGAAGAAAAAACAAATATGTACACATAATTCTTAACCCATTTCATAAATCACTAGACCACACTACCCTCGGATGCTTCTTGAAATTTATAGATTGACACATAAAAATTGGAATTCACTCAATTCATGCCAAAACTCCTTCAAAGTCAAGAGCAACTACCAAATAAACATGGATTAAATTAAAATATGTCACATAATAGGGGACCTTTTATGGCTAAGATACTAACAAATCCATTTTGAGACTAGAAGAAAACCTAATGTGTGTACACATTTTGAATTTAGCAATATATACTTACAAATAAAATCATATACTACAGTATTATTTTTATTGTAAACAGCGGCTAATTAAAATTAAGCAAGAGATTAGGTAAATACCTGCAGGATTTTCCAGCTAAAAAATCAAATGGATGACCAAAAGTTTTTCCTAAAATTGCACCAAACCCTGATAACAATGAACCAATTACATTGTCCATCTTATAAACCAATGCTTAATTAAGTAGTTTCCACAAAGGGCAAACTCCTTAATTACATTCTCATACACATGACTTCCATTTTCTGCAAAACATAAAAAAATAATTCAGAAAACAACAAAGGGTACTATGAGAGTAGCATTTCAATCTGGTATCTGTGTTGAAATTCGATTAAATCCAAATTCTCTCGTATTGAGTGTAAAATGTTCCTTAACAATAACAACTCCATACCAATCGAGTTACGTTCGCAATTTATGTAAATGTAAAAAAAAAAAACAGATATTTTGTATGTTCTTTAGGGAAAAATTGGGACTTACAGTTTACAAGTTATGAAATAACAGAAGAAAGTGAGTTTTTGAAAATTGCCCGTTTAAAAGCGGTTCAGCATTTGAAGTCCATGGGCTTTATCAAACTTAACAGACAGTGGGAATGGGCTTTTAAATTTTGGGATTTTGAAGGCAACAAGGCCCAATGAAGAGTATAAGTTAGGACATATTTATACAAGGCATAATACATAAATATGCCCTTTAACTTGGCCTCATTTCACATTTATATCCACCAACTTTGGGTGTGCACAAATAGACACTTAAACTTGTATAAAATTGAACAAGTAGACACATGAGTCCTATGTGGCATAAAACACATAGGACACCACGTAGGACGCAAATTGCCATGTAGGATGCCACTTAGGACATGTGTGACTATTTGTTCAATTTTATACAAGTTTAAGTGTCTACTTGTGCACACTCAAAGTTGGAGGACATAAATATAAAATGAGGCAAATTTAAAGGGCATATTTATGTATTATACCTTTATACAATTTATACTCCGTTTGGTATAACTTGTAGATGTTGTATTCCTCGAAGTAAATAATCTAAATGTCATGTATTTATAGAGCTGGTGCCAATTTTGTTTGTGGATAATTTTTTATGGGAACTTACATAAATTCACTAGTTTGGGATCTAATTACTTAGATACACTCTACTTTGCAGTATTACATATCTTACCATATTTTTGTGCATTGAGATGCATTTAGTTACGTCCAAATACATGTATCTACGGATACTTGGGGTCTAAATTAAGTGTAATTTGCTCTAGATACATTGTATCCAAGTGGATTCGCATGTAGCTGGGAGAGATAACAAGTCTTGCTTGCCTCCCTCGCCTCTCTCCCCATCTCGCTCGCCACTCTTGCATCTAGTATCTCAAATACATGCAAATCACGTTAGATACATACGAATACATGTATCAAGTGTGTATCTTGTGTAATTCGAATGTATCTGAGATACATACGAATCTCGCTCGTCTCCCTCCCCATCTCGCTCGCCTCTCCCTATTTTAGTGTATCTAGTAGCAAAAATACATGTATCTACGGATACTTGGGGTCTAAATTAAGTGTAATTTGCTCTAGATACATTGTATCCAAGTGGATTCGCATGTAGCTGGGAGAGATAACAAGTCTTGCTTGCCTCCCTCGCCTCTCTCCCCATCTCGCTCGCCTCTCCCTATTTTAGTGTATCTAGTAGCAAAAATACATGTATCTAAGAGTATCTTCTTCAATATATGATATAAAAAAAATAGTGGTAAGATCTTTAATATTTTGAAAATAAGTAATAATAGTAAATATGATACTAAAATATGTGTAATTATGTAAAAAAAAATCCAATAACTGGCGCATAATTAATCAATAATGCCATGAATAATCATTTGTTAAATTTATTTGTAAATTGTCAATACCATATTTCTTTCTTGTCAATTCAGTATATATTACAAATATTCATAATTGTGGGGCGGTGATGACAACAATTATTAATAAGTATGCGGCATTAGTGGTTGGCATGACACTTGAAAGTGGAAGGAGTAATCGGGATCGCGCTCCGAACATGATCTTTTTATCTCCCCCTAACATGATTTTCTCGATATGTAGGCTTGAATGTGAAATCTCTAGTTAAGAATGATGAAACAGTCCTACTACCACATCACAAGTCATATTGATTTTGAATTTTAATTAAGACTCCTATAAATTTCAAATTGTCTTGTATGGTTAACTTAATTTTCTTCAACTAATCTTAGCTATTAAAACGCTAGTGTATTTTTGACCAACCATCCATTCTAAAATTAGACATGCAACTAATTATTAATTAATCATACTTTCTCTCTCTATCTTTCTCTGTGTAATTGTTTTCTTCAATTATTTTCTTCCATGGCAGATCATTCACGGGCCACATCTCATGAGTTTTGCGGCAGTTTTGGATTTGGAAGTGTTTGTAAAGTTTGCAAATCTTTTGTCTCCATTTTATCTCCTAAGAAAACACATCATAAGCCTAAATCCAATATCCTTCAAGATAATCATCACAAGGTATTTATTTTCAATTTTAACACAATATTGTAAATGTTAATTTTTTTTATAGCAAGGAATTTTTATTTTATTTTTTGGCTTAAGAATTGGAAAATAATGGTTCTAATCATCATTTGTTAGAAACTTAAATTAGACATGTGAAATCAAAAGAGAGATAGTATACTATTAATCAAACAACAATAATTTGATTGTTTTTTTTCATATGTTTGAAAAAAATCCTAAATTGTCATGTTGGAAAAAAAAACGTTTTGATACATGAACGCATATGAAGAATGATTCAGGATTTAGATGTTGAGTCTATGTTGCATTAATTCATTCATGACATTGTGTTACATGTAGATGTTAACATAAGGTATTTTTTTTATAATCAAATTGCAGGTTAGTGTAAAGAAAAGTAGTGTTGATGAAGACATAGATGATGATGAACAATTTACATACAAACTCAATGAAGGACTTAACAGAAAACACCAAAGCAATGAACAATACTACTACACAAGTTCTCCTAAATCAAGTCCTCCTCATTCAAGAAGCACTAGCCCATCTCGACTCTCCAGGACAATTTCTCGAATTTTTCGAGCCACGAGCGTGAAAAATCACAACCATAATGGTGGTGGTGGTGGTGGACCAGCATTAGCGAGCACATTATCGCGTAATGCTAGTAGTCATGTTGACTTAACTAGTCATCATGCAGCTTCGAAATCCTTTTCACGGAGCGTGAGCCTAAGGAATGGTGGTGCGGAAGCACCCGCACCAGCAGCCTCAACAACATTACCAGCCTCGTTTTCGCGTAATGCAAGCCGGAAGAGCTCAACTCCGATAATGTTTTCAAGCTCAACTGGATTGGTAAAGCCACCACCAACGGAAAAGACACTTGAGTGCACCTTAGATGAGTTGTGCTTTGGATGTGTAAAGAAGATGAAAGTCACAATGACAGATAATGGGTAAGGACTTACTACTCTTTTATGATATCAATTTTTAATGAAATTAGTTACTCTCCGTTTTAATTTGTTTGTCATAGTTTGACTAGTATCGAAGGTGAAATTCATAAATAGACACTTTTCAGTGCCTGCAGTTAGAAAACAGCTATTGTCATGGTGTTTCAAATTTCCACAAGTGTAACTCCGTGATCTCCATGATATTGTCACGAAGTTTCACCTCTGGAATTTGAAGCTTAATCACAAAGACTATCTTTCAGAGATAGAGAGCAACAAATTGGCTAGTAAACGTTATTTCCGCTAACATTTGTATGGCTATAAGGCTTTTGAACCTTGTAATCTTCAAATATTTCATAACGCTTGCTTGACTATAAAAGCTTCTCATTAAAAAGAATAAAAAAATACAACCTAGTCCTTTTGGCCATCTAGTTTACAAAATATGTACACAGTATATACTTCACACTAATTTACTTATACATAAAGATACACAACATACACATATCATATACAACCGAGTTATACGCATAGTGTATACTTCGGTCATATTTGGTAAACTAGATGGGTAAATGATATATATTGGCAACTATCCCTTCAAAAAATATAGAACATTTATTTGATTCCATTTTTTACATTAACTAGCTCTGTTCTTTTCTTACAGGTTAACAGAAGAAGAGGAAGTACTAACAATCAAAGTGAAGCCAGGATGGACAAAAGGGACAAAGATAACATTTGAAGGCAAGGGTAATGAGAGACCAGGCACTTCAGCAGCAGATGTAATCTTCGTGATCGCGGAGAAAAAACACCCTCTATTCATGAGAGACGGCGACAATGTGGAGTTGGCAGTAGAAATCCCATTGGTAAAAGCTCTTACAGGTTGCACTATTTCCATACCTTTGTTGGGTGGGGAGAAGATGAGTTTAACGATCGATGATATTATATGTCCTGGTTATGAAAAGATTATAGAAGGACAGGGGATGCCTAAACCCAAAGAGGAAGGGAACAGAGGGAACTTGATTGTCACTTTCTTAGTAGCATTTCCAACTGAAATTGCTGAGGAACAAAGGTCTGATATAGTCAGGATTTTACAAGATTGCTGATTTGGTCATTTTATCTTCTTATCAGATGTACCAAAACAGGGTTTAGAGAGTGATGTAGGTTGTTAAAATGTATGTTTCATTTACGGAACTAGTTCACTTTGAACCATTCATCACCAACTATTCAAAAGTCTCAAGTAGGAGTGGCAAACGGATATAATATTCTATTAGAAGTTAATTAGGATAGCCAGTTAGCATTAGCACACTCCTTGAAAAGCATTAGATGACTAACCACAAGTAAAAATCCTATTATTAATAACAATTAGATAATGTTAAACATTTATACAAGAAAAAACAAATAGTATTAATAGTAACATCGCGAGACATGAAATTTATAAAAGGAGTGACTTGAAAATGTGAAGGTAATTTATGCCTCAAGGGTAGAAACACTGTGATCAGCTACTTACAAGTGTAGTAGTGGGCTCACACCAGAAATCCCAGATTCAAATTTTGAATGGAACTTTTACCACCCAATCAATGCACGAATGAGACCGAGTATATCACCATTTAACAGGGCTTTGAGAAATCGCGCCTTGCCAGTTGTATAAGGTGGATATCTTGCAGGTACATCCCCAGCAAAACTGCGACGCAGAACTGCCTTCTTGTGGCTGAAAGAATCAAACGAGAATTTGCCATGACATGAACCCATTCCACTTTCCCCGACTCCTCCAAATGGAAGAGTGGAAAGCGCAACCTACATGATAAAAATATACAGTTCATCATTAGATTTGATAACTGTATTGCATCATATATGTTAGATAAAACAACGAAATCCAGCAGCACATTAACACGTAAAATTTCTCATTCAGTTTAGATACTCCTGGGCATTCGTAATTAAATCCCAAGAATCTCTTTTGAAAATAGTTTCTTTCCCTCTGAAGTATTGCTTTAAGGTTAATGCTTCAGATATTGTATCCTATTTCACTTTCAACTTCAAAAAATCTTAATCGCATCTCCAACAGGAATAATCTAACAAATTATCACTTTGAATTTTCCCCAAGTTCCCCATCCCTATCAAAAGATAGATATCCACAATTTCACATTTGCTGGTAAAATATAATAGTCTGAGAAGGCTTGAGATCAGCATACAGACTAAAAGTATATTAATGTGATAATTTCAAAGCACGTCTCGTAAACAGATAAATAAGAAATTTAAGTCATGTTAGCACAAGTGAATTAGAAAATTTGGCTAGTAGGCAAAGACAGAATTACTTGTAAAGTGGTGTCATTGATAAGCAGACCCCCTGCTGATATATTCATGACGAACTCCTCCTCCAGTTTCTTGTTGCTTGTGAACAGATATGCTGCAAGTGGCTTTTCTCTGGCATTAATGAATTGTATAGAGTCCTCCACTTTATTGACCTTCACAAAAGAAAAGCAAGACTTACTCAAGCTGAGAATTTCACCGAGGCAAATAGTACTGTCAACAGACTATATACGGAATTTTCTGCAGAAGGAGTGCTTGAGCTTTATTTTTATTTTTTTTGAAATAGGTAACTTTCTCCTGCTTGAGCTTTATTCATTCTCAAAAGTTGGAAGTTCGTCATTCTAGACTTAACATTAATGATGCTGCTAAAAAAATTATCTTAAACTTTCACAAATGACCTATTGTTTAAAACTTAAATGATGTATTTTGTAATATATGGGGAGAAATTGCATAATAATTTCCATGAGGATTGAACTGCCAAAAGAGATTATCCTCATTTAGGCTGGTTCAAGTAAAAGTAAGAGCAGTAGATTTTCACAGTTATTGAAGTTTTGTTGCTGATGAATTTCAATACCGAAAATACATGAAACTGAATAAATTGTTCTGGAAATATGACCATCTTGTAGACGAATCTAATTCATTAGGTCATAATTCATAACTGTGTGACCATTGTTATCAGCGAATTTTTTGTTACCAAAAAGGGATGTACAAAAGACAAGTCACCTTACACAGGCAGAGTAGGTCTTACCGTGATAATAGGAAGTAGAGGACCAAATATTTCCTCCTTCATGATTAAAGAATCTTCTGGGACATCCAGAAGAATTGTAGGAGAGATCTTTCTGAGATGAGGAAAAGAAGATGAATAATAAGATTTTTCATGTCATAAGCAGACATCTTTATAATTAATAGGTTAGTGGAGAAAGAATGTGGTCGACTCACAAATTATCTTCATCTCTCTGACCTCCATGGACTACCTTATCGACAACCTTCTTATCATCCAATAACTTTGATAGTCGTTGAAAGTGGTTAGCATTCACAATGCGAGATAGATCTCCTGATTTTAGCGGATCCTTTCCATAGAATTTCTCCAATTCCTGTTTCATAGCATCTAGCTGGCGAAGAGGAATCAGAAGAGAAAAAAAATAAGAAACAATGAGTAAATAATTTTGCATAATGTCACACATAAAAGTTACTTGGTCTCATAAAACACACCAATTTTGGCACATTTTCTTTGGTAGTAATTATATAATCAGGAGAGATGCACGCTTGTCCATTGTTGCAGCCCCACTTGCCAGCAATAATACGCCTTACTGCAATCTTAAAGCAGAAAAAAGAAAATTGATAAATAGAAAAATGGAGAAAGCTTATTCTTATGAATTTTGGCACTATATGTTCTAACAACTCAAGAGACTGAGCAAATAAGAAATATTACCTTGTAATCGATGTTTGAATCCACAACAACTGGAGATTTACCACCTAGCTCCAAAACCACAGGTGTCAAGTGCTTTGCAGCAGCAGCCAACACAATCCGTCCAACTTTTCCATTTCCTACAGTATTATTTGCCCATTAGTTATCATCATAATGAACAGATCAACTCCAAATACGTCTTGCAAACAAAACTTGGCAATGTTAGTTTTTTGGTCATAATATTACTAATGCATGTGAACCTTGCAATCCAAACTAACCACAAGTAGTACTTAAGTCGATCAGACTTATTATTGCACGGAAGACCACATGCACATACAAGGGTGGGCTGACAGATCAATGTACATCTCAATCTCAATGCTCTTCTTTTTAATCAAATTTCCAGTAAGAATATCGAAAATGGAGAAGAAGATATCCCATTGTAATGAGATCTAACAAATAACAATAACACAATTTCACTTAGTTCTGTTGTCTCTTTTCCCCTTCCATGGGAGAAGGGGGATGTTTTATATGGATCCATAAAGAAGTTTAAGCTCTTATAGCTAAGATAAATTTTAAAAAATAAACCAATGACCATGTAGTTAAGGGATATGCAACCCTGCTTGGTGGTAAATATAGCTCCTCTGCTAGAGAAGCTTAGGAATAAAAGAATTTAAGATGATATCATGAATCTAATGATACAAGTATTATACACTCAATAAGATTTCAAATATACAGTAGTCAAAGTTTCTAAAATTCATTGTTGATCTACTGTACACTTCCTTCTCTACATAAGGCTGCTATGATTAGATAATAAGTGTAGTATCAATCAATCAACTGCGCCTCAAAATCAAACTAGTCGAGGTCGACTATATGAATCCTTTAAATCCATTTTGCATAATCTGGGTTCATTTCTTGGAAATAATAACCAATTTGTCTTTTAAGACATATTACAGTTCTTTAAAACTCGAGGTTCTCTGAATCTCATACTTAGTCCCCATACTGACATACAAGTTTGCAAACCCAAACCTAATGTAAGTGTAACAATAACAACTACATTTTAATCTTAACTAGTTGTTATTGCTTTAATCGATTGTTTGCTGGCAGCATTCTGTTCTTAGATAAGTCTGCGCTAATTCAGATCACAGGTATGTTGAGACAACTTCTTTATATGTACCCCATCCCCTTTTAGCACCTTCAATATAGAATGGTATACACATGAACCAGTGTATTTTGAGGTCAACCTAAGATATTGCTAATCCATGACACCACCTGTCTTATTTAGACAATAAATACTTGAAAGCAAAAAATATCACCACCGGTCATTGAACTGTAAGGAAAGTTACCACATTGTTAACCAACCAGTTCAGTTGTCTTCGAAGCCAAAAAGATAAAAAGAAATTATGTTGCCACCAGAGATGATTGCAGATTTGGGCCATTGTCCATCTTTAAATAATCATCCCAAATATTTTATTCTATAAATGACATGGAGATAAAGTCAACCAGTGATGAAGTTATTCAAACCTGTATAAAATATTTTGTCCCATTTTTGCTCTAGTAATGCAGTTGTCTCGGGTACTGCACCTTCTACAACTCTAATAGCAGACACATCCATATACTGCCCTAAAAGCTTTGCAAGCACTGAAGATGTAGCTGGGGCTATTTCCGATGGTTTCAGAACTACAGCATTACCAGCAGCAATAGCTCCTATCACTGGATCAAGGGACAACACTGGAATAGAATGAAGGGGGAGGGAAGAACTGATTAATTAATCTGCATTGTAACTTTTCAACTAAATATCATAAAACAAACAGACATTACTAGTAAATTACTGATAAGGGATAATGGAAAACTCGCTATCAACAAGGACAAAGGCACCTTGGAAATCTTGCTTGCATCAGAAAAGGATAAAGCATTACAGTAATCTACTTAGTTTTTGGCCTTTTATTCTAGAAAAGCAGAAAATAGTTTGACCAGAGTGAAACTTTTACACTAAATATGACCTAGTCTTCATTGACAGATAGTTCAAACACAGACAATCAGTGTAAATGAGTGGGGGTATGTTTCTCTCTGCATTGTGAGTCACACCGATCTAATGTTGCAAAAACAAAAAGCAAGAAGATTCATCCTAACATTCACAGTTATTAACATTATCCATCCATAAAATGTTTAGTTAGTTTTAAGAGTCACCACAACCCTTGATAATAAAAGTTTATAACACAGCAGAATTTTCTGCAGAGGGAAGTGATTAGTCTGGTTTCTAAGTTGAGACTTGCTTAAAGATATATTGAAAGGAGAAGATAAGAGGAAAAATAATCGCATGCACTTATGACGGAGATAAATAGACAGTTTTTCACATACAGAACGGATAGTTCCATGCTGATATGACCAATACAACACCGAGGGGTTCTGGAACTATTTCAGCTGATGACGGAAACGAGGTTAATGAAGTTTTGACCTGTAATTTCCATATGTTAGCATCAGTGGACTTCTATTAATTAATAAGCAAGATGGTATGTATATCTATAAATAGGTATAAAAAATTACTTTTTCC